GGCAGCTCTCCGCTTCCACTCTCGCCACCAGCAAGTGTTCAGGGTCATCACGGAAGATTCCAGAGGCCCAATGATGGTCTCCCTCTAATTGCCGCTAGAAACCCATGGGCCCCCCAGATGGGGTAGCCCAGTCCAGGGCATCCCATCAATCCAGCCTGAACCTGGGGGGCTGGCGCTTCACCCCCTTTTCATCCTTCCCCTTCGGCCCCTCTATGAGTTTGTCTTTGGTGTAGGGTGCTTTCGGAGGGGATGTAGTCCCCTTTTCCTTGCTTCCTTCACTCATTGCTGTTGTGTATCAGATTGAGAAGAAAGAAAGTTCTGACACTGTCAGACTCTTATAACTTTGTTGTATATTTCATTTTTTATTAATTTTCATACATTGTTACATCATCATAACATTGTTTACAAAGTTGTATCAAGTTGAATAAATCACAATACATAAACTATGACAATATAAAACTTGTAAATTCAGTGTGTATATCTAACATAACTTGGGAAATTGGTGAGAAGTTGTGTCTACTCTACTGCTGGAGCAAACACCAGCGTATCTTTGTGTATTAACCAATCCTATGTAACATCAAACATTTTGAATTTCAAGTTGCATTTTTTGATTTATATTTATATTTATGTATAGTATTTCAGACTTCTTATAATTAATATGTAATCCTGCAATTTCCCCATAATCACAAATCTCCTTCATTAATCCAGGTAGTGCTTCTTTAGGATTTACCATTAATACAGCTACATCATCTGCAAACATATTAATCGTATGTACAAGTCCATTTGTCTCTATGTCTTGTATTTGCTTATTAGCCAGAGGCTCTAGTGAAAGGATGAAAAGCAAGGGTGACAAGGGGCAGCCCTGTTTAGTTCTTCTAGTCACAGGAAAACTAGCAGAATCAAAGCCATTTATTCATACTCTAGCTTTGGACTTTTGATATACTGGCTGAATTGCATTCATAAAATATTGACCAATATTTAATTTTCTTAGCAGTCTAATGATAAAGACCCATTCCAAATGATCAAAAGCTTTCTTTGCATCGAGAGATGCTATGGGTACTGGTGTCTGATTTTTTTTACTAACGTAGATGGCATTCAATATTTTACGTATTGGATCTGCTATTTGCCTTTGGGGTACAAAACCCGATTGGTCTGGAGAAACATAATTCTCAATTATAGTACTCAGTCTATACACAAGGACAGCAGTGAAGATTTTTGCATCTTGGTTCAATAATGCTATTGGTCGATATGAATACTCTATATTTATATTGTAACTCTCTCCACTTTGCTTTAAGCTCTCTACTCGTATGCTTGAAATGATTCTAGAAAAAATTGGTGTCTTGGCCAAAGTTTCACTCCATCCTGAGGTGAGACAGCATATAGTTCCCATACTTATGCTGTGCTGTGGCACCTTTGGGGGAGTCATCTTATCCCATCTCCTCCCACCCCATGCCTACACCTAGGGCTCTTTTTTAAAAAAAGTATACATATATAAACTTAAATAATAGCATTTTTATATCCATACTCTAGAACCGAAAAGCATAGCTGCAATACATATTTCACTAAGTTTCATGTTAAGTCCTAGAGTGTCTCTTTAATTTACAGCTAGTCAGTCATCCTCATGCATACTTTTTTTAAAAAAACAACCAGTATATTTATTGGGTTTTTTAACATATAAGCCTGTATCATATACATATAAACAAGAACATCAACAATACTACATACAAAAAACCTAAGATAGCAATTTTTCATTTCAGCAACACAGGTTAACAGAAAAACTAGACAAAAAAATAATTATTCTGTTATGTTCAACCTGTAGGTCAATTCTGTGTTGAGTAGCTACTTCTATCTCAATTTCCTTTAAAAATTAAATACTACATTCTCAAAATTACACTGTCAACTCATATTAGTAATATAAGATATTCATATTCACTGTTTATAATCATCATTATCTTCACCGTTCAAGGTTCTAACCATTACTATTACACATCTTCCAGTAGTCTGTCCATTCTTTGCTTTTAGTATAGGTACAGGGTTTACTGTTACAATTGTAAAAGTTTTTTTTCTTCATTTATTACCCTTTTAAATTTTCCTTCAATCTCTACAGTATTTAAATTAGTTTATCGTTTTGTTGAAACCATTATATCAAGCTTAGCTTGAAAGTTAACTTTACTATTCATTAAGTAAGGATTTTACACTTCCAGTTATATTCTGCCAGGTCTTTATCTTTATTTGTTTGACTCAGAGTTAATCTTTATCCACCACAGTCATGCCAAATTTTATCAAAATTAATTAGAACTTAATTACACCATCGTGACACAATACTCCACCATTAAATACAATCAGACAATTATTCATCCATATTCTAACCTCTCCTATTA